GTGGGCTCGGCCGCGGCGGCGCCCCCCATCGGCAGCCTCACGGCCCAGCTGGGCGCGGCTCAGAGCGGCATCATCGACGCCTCGCACAGCGTCCGCCTGGCCCTCGATGACCTGCGCGCCCTCGCCGCCCGCATTGACATCGTCACCGGCTGCAGCCTACTGCCCGACCTGCGCCCTGGCCTGCCGCCCGCCTGACCCCGCACATGGCCTGCGGGTCGCTGCAATCTCCGGCACGGCCAGGGTCCCATCTCTGGCCTCCACTGGTTCCGCCCGCAGGCGCATAGCACCATCGGCAGAGCAGCAGAGTCCTACTGAATGGACCAGAGCCAGGGGGTGAGGCCAGGAGCTGGGGGATGTAGGTCCCCCTTGTCACCTGCCCAGGATGTTTGCGGGCTGAGAGCAGACCCTCCCCTGGACGTTGCTGGGCTGCAGGGGAGTTGCTGGGATGCCTGAGTCTGTGCTGAGCTGATGGAATAGAAGCAACCGTGGGTGTGACGTGTTTGACGCTCCTGATTTCTGAGGTGCAGCCTCATCACCTAGCTGTGACCCCCCAAGCCTGAGCGGGCTGCTTAGCAGGGCTGGGGCAAGGCTGGTTAGACTCAGGCTGGACCAGGACGGGGAGAGTGGACAGTCAGGGGATGTGCCAAGGTGGGGGCTGCTTGTCATGTGGCCACTGGCTCATCTCTGTAGCCCAGAGAACTTCAAGCTGTATCTTGCCAGGCCTGGATCTAACCCCATCCGTTCCCTGGGCCCCAGCAAACTGGCTCCTGTGCCTCCCCCGTTCACCCACTGTGAAGTGGACTGGGCCTTGGCAATGCAGATAAACATCCTGGCAACTCTGCTTACGTTTCTCTGCTCCCACTTCTCCATCTGGGAGGCACCCTCCTGGCTCCATGTTGGAGCAGTTGCAGCAGGAGGTGGGAAAGGGGGCCCTTCCACAGCCTGGCCTGAACCGAGTTGCTTATTGCACTCTCCTAGGGAAGGGAAATGTGGGTCAGACAACTTCTTGTGCTGAGGCAGGCAACCCTCACCCACAGGCCTCCTGCTTTCTGGGCAAGGCCCCAAACAGGCAAGCTGTTCTGTCAAAAGGGAATGGCACTGGGACCATTTCCCCTCCGAAGGGAAAGAGCGAGTCAGCTGCCTGGACACAGGAGACTTACAAATGTGGGAGTCTAGGTAGGGGGCTCAGTTTGAGTCCCACTGTACTTGGGCCAGTTTGAAGGGGGACATGCAGCCCTGCCTCCATCTTTGTCACTTCCTTTTGTCCAGCTTGCTAGGAGCTAGGCACTTAAACCTGACCAGGGTGCCTGCTTTCCTGTGCAGAGTCCAGGGAGTGAGCCCTGCCCTGAGGCACAGGAGCACTTAGCACACCTATGCCTAAGGTTCTTTGCCCCCTCACTTTGCCAAGTCTAGGAAGCCCCTCCCCATCCTCCTCCCTTTGGACAATGGGTATGGCTCACCTATTTGAAAAGAAGCTATAGACAAATGATGGGTCCTTAATAACAGTGTTGTTGCAAAGCTTCATTATCAGCATGTGCTGGGGTGGAGGCTGCCAACACCCTGCCCAGCTGGGAAGTTGGGGGTGAGGGAGGAGGCTCCCATCCCCTGCCCTAGGGGGACAGCTCATGCTGTTGGTTATTACCATGTGTACCAGACATTGCCCATTGCACTAGCCGTAGGACAATGGGTGGATTGCTCTGTTCCCACCAGCTGAGCAGCCAGGAAGCGGGCAGTCAGGGAACCTGAGCAGCTTCAGCTCTCCAGCACCTGCCCCCTGGGCTGGGGTGAGCCTGGGAGACTGCCTGCAAGCTGGACTCTAGGGGCTGAGCTCCCCAGCAGCCTGCCCACCAGGTACAAGGAGTTAGATAGTTGGCAGGGAGGCACACAGTGGCTAGCTTGATCTCTGCACACTTTTACATGTGCTCCAGGAGGGCGTGGTGGGAGTGCTTTAATTAGGGAGCGCTTTTAATTAAAAGCGCTTGAGCATCACATGCATCCGTGTTCCCTGCACTAAAAAATAGTAGTGGGGTACTTTGAACTAAAGCTCATTGAATGCAAAGCACCCTGCTGCCATTTTTCAGAGTGGGGACGCTAATACACAGGATGCCAGAGTCTGCTGGAATGCATTTATTTCCATGCTCCAGCAGACTCGATTATAGGACTGCACGTATATAGGAGCCCTCTGACTTCCCTCCCATGGTTGGGAGAAAGTGACTTGCTCCTAGAAGGAGAACTGGTCCCTAGATCCTTATGCTGCTGCTTCTGTTCTGCCCCTACTGTTTCCACAAGGAGCCCAAACTGCACTTCTGCTCTGGGCAGGCCATTGCCTCAGGCTGGCAGCAGAGCTGACAGGAAAAACAGCTGAAAGCACGTGACTTCCCAGAAAGGGAACCTAGCAGGTATCTTGCTGCTGGGATGCCAACTCAATCCTGGTAGAGTGGGGCTCCCTGTGAACTTTGTGCCACTGGAAATGCACTCCCCTCCCCCCCATGTCATAACCCCCTGGGAACCAGTTTGCAGTTGTCACAGGTCAGCATGTAGAGCACTGAGCATTCCAGAGAGATAAGTTGTCTTTCAGGCATGAAGAACTGCATCTCGTCCCTGGGGACACGAACACACAGCATGGCAGGCTCCCAGTGAGCCAGGGACTCCCTAAGCGAAGAGGAAAATGCCAAGTGACTGGCTGCTGCAGTGACCTCAACCTCCAGAGCAAAACTTCCAAATGTATTTTTATTACAATGGCAAGTAGCAATAAATGAAAACCTTACAAAGAAAGTGTTCAGAATCACACTGCACATGCACATGTTATACTGCTCCTCAGTAAAGAATAAGCTGCAACCAGTTTCCCCATTCCTGATGCTTCTCCTAGTCAGTCTGGTGAGCAGCAGATTGAATCCACCTCCTCTGGAGCTTCTGCAGGGATTCAGTGTGCTGGTCTTATTTTTTTTCCAGCAGGTATCCAGAGCAGGATGCCCCTCGGGCTGAGAGAAAAGTCATGCAAATCTCCCCTCAACTTACTTCAGCTCCTGAGACACTGGGCAGATTCATTCTTCCTCTGCTAGCAGGAGACAGAGTTCATGCAGCCCCAATAAGCTCATGTTTTCCACAGGACAGTCCATTACCATCCCCCAACTCCTGCCCCTCTTCGCAGAGCAGTTTCTCACAACAGCCCCAGGGCGGTACGCACAGCATGGCCACCAGCCACTGCAATTTCTACCAACCTCCCTGCCCTGCCCCAGCACAGCATGCTGAAGAGGGCCTCCCTGCCCTTCCTGAGATGGACCCATTTTCAACCATGCCCTTCTCAATGCAAGAGGGTTATGGATGCAGCCCTGGGGACGAGCGTAAGAACTGCCCCCCCCAAGAGTGCAGCCTTTGGCCCAGCTCTTCTCCCTGCCACAGACTCCCCAACTGGCTAGAAGCTGGCCCTGACTAATACCAGAACAGTCTCCAAAAACTTCCATCAGGGAGATCATGTGGGCCCCACAGGTTGCTGTCCCCACAGCTGTGACAGCTGCTGCATGTTTGGGACATGTGTTGGAAATCCAGCCTCAACCAGTGTGAATTGTCCACATGGGTAGGGGTAAGCAATGCCCACAGAATGCCCTAATGCAATGGGGAAGATTTCCCAAGGCACAAAGAGGAGGCAGACCTCTCCCAGCAAGACCCTCTCTGCCACCATTGGGTTTCTACCATTCTCATGTCTTACTGGGAAGGGAGCTGGGAGTTGTGGATCCCATTCTTTGTAGAGGGCACAGGAGCTGCTGGCGTACAGCCCCAAGGATTTTCTTCAGTGTCTGCAGGGAAAGGCATCATGACACGGTATGAGCAAGGGAGACAAGGATTTATTAAATTAAAACCAACAGAATGCCATAGCCACAACCTAGTACCCACTGACTGGCACCCCTGGCAATGCCTGTGGGTGTGCTGGCTCCACAAAGCTGCTAACTCCATTGCTAACCAACACTTGCATCCAACCATTCAATTCCTGGTCCCTGTGCCAGCATGAGGCTTACCAAAACTCATGCAGTTGCTATCAGTTCCTGCCCAGTGCCCCTTCCCTGACCATGTTCCCAAGGCCTGTAAATCCCAGCTGTGGACTTCCCAAGCACCAAGAGACATTGCTGGTGAGTAACACAACCCTAATTCAAGATCAGAGGTGATGGAGCTTCCTCCAAAGCTCATCCAGCTTGTGTGAGGACAGCCACTTCTCTTCATTTTCCAAAGTTCCCATCCCTGTAAATTAACCCAGTGCTTGAAAGCCATCAATGCATGTAGGACTGGAGACACTTTTTGCACAGACCACAGGCTGCACAATGCAATTGTAAGGGGCACTTGAGTAGCTGAAGAGGAGACTAACCAAAGGCAGGAGTTTTGCAATGCTGCATACAGCCATAGTTCTTGCATGGAATCTGGAAATTAAACAGAGACAACATTAAAAGAGTATTTCAGACCTACTCTCAGTTCCCCCAGTGAAGAGAAACATTCACAGGTAACTTAAGATGAACAACATAAAACATAATATCATAGAATCAGAGAAGACAGGCTGGAAGGGACCTCCAGAGGTCACAGCAAGTTGAACCCCCGGCCTGAGGCAGGAACATCCTTGTCCAAACCATCCCATACAATCCATAATCTAAACTCTACATACGACTTCCCTCAACCCTGATACAACACAGACCTGACACCCTAACCTGCCAAGGGTAAAGCAAAGGACCCACAGCACCTAATGTTCTATGAAACATTTTCAATATATGCTCCAGAGATCCCAGGTAGAGATCATGGTTGCCTGCTACAAAAGGAAGGCAAAACCCCCCATAGCCCATACCAATCTGACCGGGGGTAAAATGCCTTCCTGACCCTAAATATGGCATCTATCTGGCCCTGAGCAAAGGGGCAAGACCCTCTAGCCAAGAACTTCCAGCTTTGGTCCCAGCAGGAGCACTGGCAGAGGCCAGGCAAAGTCCCCAGCCTTGGCTGTAGCCAACAACTGATGTCTCTGAGGAAGACTTAAAAACACCTTGACACATGTAGCAGAAAGCAGGGGTGGGAGCAACCCGCAAAGCCTAGAAACATGGGAAATCTCCATACTGGAATGCAGGCATAGCTATACCTAGATCATCCCTGACCAGTGACTATCCAACCTCTTCTTAGACACCTCTAGTGATGGAGAGTCCACAGCTTCCTTAGCCATCTATTCCACTGTCTCACTATTCTAACGTTTTTCCAAATTTCCAATCTAAATTTATTTTACTGCAACTTCAAGCCAATGGTCCACTTCCTCCTCTCCATTTTCCCCTCTTCTTTATGACAGCCCTTCAAGTATTGGAAGACTGCTATCATGTCCTCTCTTAAGCACGTTTTCCACAAGCTGAACATGCCTACCTCCCTCACCCTCTCCTCACATGACCTGCTTTCCAAATGCTTGATCATCTAACTTCTCCATGTCCTTTTGGAAATGTGGAGCCCAGAACTGCACACACTACTCCAGATGAGACCTAACCAGTACTAAGTAGAGAGACACTATCACCTCCTGTGTCTTGTACCTAACGCTTCTATTGATGCATTCAAAAAAATCGCATTCACATTTTGCATGGCAGTTCCCAAGTCCTTTACCATAGTGTTATCATCCAACTAAGGGTCACCCATTTTATAATTGTGTTTTTGATTATTCTTGCTGAGGTGTGGCACCTTGCATTTGTCTGCAATGAACTCTTGCCCAGTTCTCTCCTGTTGCCTCTAGCCAGCTTTCCAGTCTGTCGAGATCCTTCTGAATTGCGCTCACATCCTCCAACATATTCCCAATGCTTCCCAGTTTTGTGTCATCCGCAAACTTGCTCAAGAAGCTTTCTATGCCAGAATTCAAATGGTCAATAAGCGCACTGAGCAGCCCTGGGCCAAAGCCAGACCCATGTAGGACTCCACTTGAAGCCTCCTGCTGTTCTGATATGGATCCATTAATAATTACCCTTTGTTTGCAGCTATTGAGCCAGTTACCTTATCTACCTTAAAGTAGATATAAGGTTTGTCAGGAAGGATCTACCTGTGACAAACCCATGCTGGTTTCCTTTCAGCATCGTTTCCCCTGCTGGGCCTTCACAAATGCGCTCTTTGATTTATTTTTTTCCAGTATTTTTCCAGGGATAGAGGTAAGACTGACTGGCCTAAAGTTACCTGGCTCATCCCTTCTTAAAAATGGGCACCATGTTGGCCTTTTTCCAGTCCTCAGGGACGTGGCCACAGCACCATGAGAGCTCAAACAGCCATGCCAGCAGCTCACCTATGACACTGACCAATTCCTTCAGCACCTGTGGATGGAGGTCATCTGGGTTCGTACCCATCCAGCCCTTCCCAAGTGCTCCTTAGCTAAGTCAGCACTAACCTTTGGTGGTCTGGTGCCTTTTGGACATCTGTCTATGCTCAAGGTGGGGGAATTGTCTTGGTCAGTATTAAGGAATACTGAAGCAAAGAACTCACTGAAGAGCTCTCTGCCTCTTTCTCTGCATCAACCAGCAACTGACCTGATTTGTTCTGCAGGGGCCCAATGTTACTCTGCGCCTTCCTTTTGCTCACTGTGTGTCTGTAGAAGGACTTTTTATTGTCCTTAATTGTTGGAGCCAGCTTAAGCTCCAGTCCTGCCTTGGCCTGCCTGATTCCCTGCAGTAGCGCGCCAGGGTGGTCTGTGCCTCCTTGGTGGCTGCCCCCTGCTTCCACTGCCTATAAATCTTTTTGCCCCCAGTCTTTCCTGGAGCTCCCTGTTCAGCCAAGGGGGCTTTTTTATCCCCTTAGCCCCTTCTCTGCACAAGGGGATAGACTCCTTTTGTGCCCCAAGGATCACTCCCTTGAGAAACTTCCAACCCTCTTGGACCCCCATTAGCTCAATGCTCTTGAGTTCTGCCACCTCACTAACTAGGTTTCTAAGTTGGCCCTTCTAAAGTCTAAAACTTTAGCATCACTGGATATTTTTCTCACCCTTCGCTGGATAGTGAACTGTACCAAGTGATGGTCACTGTCACCCAGGTCACTGTGTACTCGCAGGTTCCCCATGAGATCATCCCATTGCTAAGACCAGGTCTAGCAAGGTGCTACCCCTGGTGGGACTGGACACTTACAGTGTGTCGGAGCAGACTCGATTCGAGTCTGCTGGAGTGTGCTAATTAACACACTTCAGCCAGCCCCTGCATCTTGTGTATCAGCATCCCCACATTTCAAAATGGCAGCGTCGCACTTTAAACCTGTGTGCTGTGAACTTCTGCTGTGATGAAGGTAGGCCCCTACATATAGGACATGCCTCGCAGCAGAGAGCGGGCCCAGCTCCTGGGCACTGTAAAGCCACATGAATGCTGCTGGGTCTGTCCCCACCTGCACCGAGCTGCTGAGGTTCAGCTTTCTCCCACGGTGACTGAGCACCCTGCTTATCAGCGGCCATGAGGGCATGCGGCTGACGCTAGGTCCTTATTTCCAGCTCTTTATTCCCAGTTCCTTACTCCCGGGAGGCCCGAAATATTTCCCCGGGCCTGCCAGGAGGCAGGCTGGCACGGGTTGGGCTTGCTCAAAAGTGTCGTTCGTGGCCCCCCCCCGCGTGGAGGAGACGTGTGGCTGGAGGGCCCCGAGGAGGATTTTGTTCTCTTACGCCCAAGTTCATCTCAGCTCCTTATTCCGGGCTGGGCACCGGACGTCGTTCTTTCAGTGACTGCAGGGCCCGCAGGAAGGCGAGCTGGGCCGTGCACTGTCCCTGGCACTGGGGGAAGCCCGATTCGCTTTGAAAAGGGCCCGGGAACAAGGAGCCGCCTTCAGCCCCGCGGACCAGTGAC